TATCAATCCTGAGAAACATCAAGAATGACCAGCTGCCATTTGGTCTTAATACTGATGATCACAACATTTAGAATCCAATAGTCTAACCAGTTTTCCGTCAAACCTATAATCCACCTATACAAACCACATCTCTCTAATTTGGCTACAAGGATACTGTGAGAGACTCTGTCAAAAGCCTGACTAATATGAAAGTAAAGAAAATCCCCTGCTCTCCCCTTGGCCACACAGCCAGTCGTTTCTCAATAGAAGGCTATCATGTTGGTCAGGCACAACACATCTTTGGTAAATCCAAGATGACTGTTCCCAGTCACCTTATCATTCATGTGTCTGGACATGACTTCCAGAAGGATTTGCTGCACAGTTTTTCTGGGGTCAGGGGTTAGGCTGACCAGCCTGTAGTTTCTATAGTTTTCTGGATACCCCTCTTTGCCTTTCTTGAAGATGAGTTGAGATGTTTCCTTTTTCATCAGGAGGCTCGCCCCATCTCTAATAGAAAATCATGTAGAGTGGTCTTGTAATGTCATCAGCCAGCTCTCTCAGCACTCAGATGTATTTTATTCCATATAATGAAATATTTCCTTTTCAGTTTCATATAAAATGTTGCATGCAAAGTTTTTCGTGCAGCTTCCTATATCAAAACAGTATCATGGTTACAAAGTTGAGAAAAGTTAGGAAACACCGAGTTTAAAGCTGTCCGTACAATCCCAATTGTCCCCTCTTGTCCTCATATAAATGCATACTATACAACCTGTATTACATTATCACATTTGGTTCCTCTTCCCTTTCCTCCCCCCTCCTTCCCTCTCCCCCCCTTCTTTTCTGGAAGAGTCCTTGAGCTATTCTGCTTTTGTTGCAGAGTAGGCACTGTTTAGATTCAATCAGTATTGTCATAAATAAGATTATAAGAATCCTGGTTTATGTATTGTGTAACTTGCATTAGGGTATTGAATAAGCAGGGAATTTGGGAATGAGAAGGAAGGATTTAATGTGAGTAAGTAACTGAAGGCTGCTCTTGAGAACTGGATTTTTATCCTTGTCTCTGCCACAAAATGTCTGTGGTAGTTGTTCATCCTTCCCCTTACAGTTGGTGATAGCTGTCCTTTGAATATGTGGGAAGCTGTTAAAATACGAAGTTTAGTGAATCTTAGATGTCTCTGGACAAAGTTAGGCACTCCAGTCTTATCCATAGTGTTTCTGTGACTTAGTTTGCCATCTGTAACTGAGGATCATATATCTGTGTGATTTTTCATGTTAAGAATGGGGATGTAACACTGAGGACTGTGGTGGAGAAGCACCTTGGGGAATGGATAATTCCATTACAAGCTACATAGCTTAGAGGGTACTCAGTAAATAAGACCTCGGATTTCATCGTTGAAAGATAAATAATTGGTATGAAGCAAACATCCATCTATTTTAATGAACATACTTACTCCTCTTTGAGCAACAGAGCAGTGGATACATGCAATTGCTGTCTGGTTCAATATGTGAAAAGTATTGAATGTGCAGTGGAGCACAGGCTGTTACTGGTACCTCTGCTTGTTTCAAGAACAAAGAGTTATGCATGCAGAAGGAGCAGTTTTCCTTTCAGCTATCAGGTAAGGAGGGAGGCAGAAAACCCAGTCTCTCATTTCCAGTAAGAATAGAAGCGTTATGCCTGTGAATGACATCAGGAAAAGCTGTGGTTATTGAACAATGAGTGTGTTAATGTTTAATTGCACAGCAGTTAGTGTATTAGTGGTGAATACTTTTTATCCATTTGAAAAAATATTATAAATAGATGGATATGTGAATTTATTATGATGGAAAGTGGGCCTTGGTATCAGTTGAGTAGCCGTAAGAACATCACCTGGCAGCTTTAAGAGAGTTTGAGCAAAGGCTTGAGGCATTTTTTTCTATCATTTTTTTCCCTGCCGTGTGCATATAACGTTGTAAGTCTTTTGACTATGAAACTGAAGGAAAAAAAAAAAAAGAAGGTTTTTCCACCTTCTTTCTTCAGAGATTTCATTATGAAGGACTTACTTAAAAAAAGAACAGTATATATTGCCAGGGCAGGCTTTACTTTTTCTCGCCTATCACAAACATTGTGTTTCTGTAGAACTTTGTTGGGTTTGACTTACATGGAAAAGCAGAGGCCATTGTTGCCTTCATAAGACTTTCAATAATCACTTCCTACAGCAGTTTAACCGTCAGGAGGAGTAACATGCTCATGAAGAAAAAGATGATGCACATTCTCTCTGTAGTAGAGTCGTAATCAACAAAGTAAAGGTAATTGTTTTAATTCTGCTGAGATTTATGCAAGTAAAGGTACTACTATTATTAATATTTAATGCTTTGTTACGCTTAAATGTACGTCTGGCCTGTACTGTTGCAGGTCTTGAACAGAGCAGGTAAAAACTATAGTTGGCACAGCATTCAGGAGATGGTCTTTTATATAAGATTTTCAAGATGGAAACACCTCTTCTTTTTTTTTTTTTTCTTAAGCAGAAGAAGTGCCTGTACAACATAGGCAAGTACTTTCAATGTTTTTACAGGCATCAGCTGGAATATAATCTTACTCTTCCACAGTGTTTACACTATTATCTTTGCCTGACGAAGGGACTTTTAACAAATGGATTGAATGCAAAATAATGACTCATAGTGCAGTTTAGGCTTTAAAACGTGGAAGATAAATGAGCTTAAGATGAGGAGAGAGACCGGAACAGTGTGCAAAGGAAAGTTCTGATACATCTCTGATAGAAAGTTGTGGATTGGTCTAGACAGCACTGATTTCAAATGAAATGAAAGTGAACCAAAAATGAGTTTAGGTCAAAAATTTATTTCAGTCAAAGTTGAAATTACTCAACCTAAATCTGTATGAAACATGTCAAGTTCTTTATGGCACATTCCTTGAAAGACAGCTATTTTCTAGATGTATGTTGTGGTTCTCCCACTTTGTTTCATTTATGTGGGTTTTGTGCTTCTGTACATGTTTTCATAAATGTCCTACCTGACCTAAGCCTACTAAAGTCTCATTGGTTACTGGAAGGTGCAGTCCTTGCCAACTCCATCATGCCATAGTACTTGCAGTGTCAGTCAAAATGGATAGTTAATCACATTGAAAATTAATATCACCAAAGAAGACCCCTTAGGATTGGTTTTCAGTCAGATCACTTTTCTGACAGAGAGGGACTAACAGAAACATGCCTGTCAGATGTAAGCTGAATTTAGATCTCTTAAACTGATATAAACTGCTTCATAATAAGATAATTTTCCTGTGCTACCTTAAAACAGATAAAGTCAGAAGCTGTAGCATATACATAGGATGAAGTACCTTTTCTTGTTTCATGCAACTGTTAATCCTGAGAAGCAGTCCAGGGTTCAACTAAGTCATTTCAGTAGAAGGAAAAGCAATCTGTTCGAATGAAAATTTGTCATTGCTGCAGAAGCTTCTTACAGAAATGTCCGAGAAGGCCATTTCGCCTATCTTTCCAAGGTTAGACCTAAGTTGAGATGTTCTTACTGGTTCAGCAAAGTCTTAAGCGAAGGCCAGCACTGCCAGTGGTGCAGAACATATTAATTATGTAGTACTTTGTGGTGTGGACCACTGCCTTTAGTCTGTCAAATGCTTGATTAGAAATTCTGAGTTAGTGGGCATGAACTGTCCTACATCTATTTTTACATCCTTCTCAGGAGTCTGGCATTGAACGTTGTCTTTGCTTCCAGGGAATGTGTCCACCAAAGTCTGTGTTCAGGAGTATTTCCCTTACTCAAAGTACTATGTTCCCCATGTAATCTAAGCCTAATTACCATATTACTTCAGACCATTTTTACAGGTCTGAAGTGAATAGACTTCCTTTTTTTCTCTGGACTTCTTTCCCAGCTGACCAGCTGGGCAACTTGAAAATGTTGGTGTGTTGTCTGCCTCAAAATTCAGGAGACTGATTTTCAGGATATTGCTTCTTTTGTTGCTTCCTTTTATCACTGTTCCAGTTACTTTGGTCCTATTACTGGTTTGAGTCACCCTTTTAATGTATTGCCATTTGTGTAGTGCAAATAACAAAGTTATGTCAAACCTGAAACATTTTGAATAGTTTGTCCTCTTGATGCTAGCAAGTCTTTCCTGTGCTTTCACTTTACTTGGAACTCTGGACTTCCCTAATGAATAAGTAGTTTGATCTCTAATGTGAGAAGGCTGACATCTTATCAAATCAAAATGAAATGAAGGACACAGGGTGTTGTTAACAATACACAGTAACTTAGTTCTTGACAGCTTTGATTTGAGCAGTAAAATGAATAAATCGGACAATAAATATGTGTATTATTGTGAAACATGAAAGGTTAGGGAGATTGTGCGATGTCTTGATGCACTGATCTTTCTTCTGTAAAGACATAATTTTTAAGTTCTGGTTATGCATCCAAATAAAAGCAAGTTTGCTGTTGTTCTGTTCCTTGAAGTGCTTCTGCAGTTCGCAAAAACAAATTGTAAAGAATTCGGCATGCTTGGGAATACCTGTTTCAAGACAGGACCCCTTAGCACATCAGGATTGACCTGCATAGGCAGAAGGGCTGGAGAAGCTTGATTGGCTTCACCTGTACCTTGTGCTTTGTTCAAACTTTTATTGTTAATCCCTCATTTTTCTGTGCACTGAAGTTATACAACATATATTCACATTCACCTGTTCCCTGAATTCTTTATTCCTACTTGAAGTGCTATCTTTTGGACTTTGGAAAGAGATGACCGATCCCCACAAGCCTCCAGTTTTTGAAGGGATCAAGTGTTTTGGTAAAAAGACTGCTGTGAAAAGAAACAGCATCCTCCCTCTAGCAATGGTCCTTAACTTTTGAGGCTTTCTTGTATTTTTAGTGTGTGCTTTAAAGAGGGTGTATTATCCCACTAATGCTGCTCACAAAAAACTGTGAGCATTTCATATAGCATTTCATAATACTGTAACTTTTGTTGAATTTCTGAGTGCGTTATTTGAACTGATCACAAAAAAACTTCTAATAAACTCTTCCCACAGAAACTGAAACAGAAGAATCAGCAGCTGAAGCAGATCATGGATCAGTTACGGAATCTTATTTGGGACATAAATGCCATGTTGGCAATGCGGAACTGAACAAGGAAAATCAAACTTTGTAATTGGAAAAGATACAAATTTGTTTGGATATACTTAATTTCTTTCTAAGAAGTAACATGTTTTCCCACAACCATATTGCAGTAATGTTTGAAAAGTCTTCAAGATTAAAGTATTTGGTTTTTGTAATAACTTAAATGGTGTTGGCTTTGTTTTTATAAAAGATTCATCCTACAGGTTTTACCTGAGTGATTCACTTAGGCTGAATAAAATACAGCCTAAGTAACTTAGAGTAATAATTTGGATTGCTATGCAAATGGGGTTTTTTATAAATGAAGTGTTTCTGGATTTTTTTTATAATGCAATTAACACTGTTTTAAAAACATGTGTTTGCATGCCATGCTGCAGTGCAAACCACCACTACAGACAGGAAGAGTTGCAATACAGAAGAGTCACTCTAGTGAGCTACAGGGCTGAAATAAGTGATCAGATATTACAATGCAATATGTTTCCCCATTGTGGGAACATATTCTACAGGCTACTATGCCATATAAGTTCATCTTATTCCATATCCTATCACTGGATATATGTTATATTAGATAAATTGGAGCAAATTCAAAAGCTACATAAAATTACCCCTGTATCTTTATGGGTATAATTAAGTCTTTGTAAGTGGAGACTACATATACATCCTCAACATTAACTTCTTCTGTAACTATGTGTTACAATTTCTTGAGTACTGCTCCAGCTATTGTATGGTGTCATATTCCTGTAGCATGGTGTTGTATTCCTGTAGCATTATGTATGGTTGGAATACTCTGCTTTTGTTTACCAAAATGCACTGAATAAATGCCTCATTGATCTTTTCCCTATGACTGCCAGTCCTAGAAAACTTTGGAGTATATGAGCAGTTCATTATTTTGAGTTAATCATCAACCTTCATCTTTCTTTGTTCTGCCTCCAGTATTTCTCACAATTTTCATAGTTTAGAAAATAGTCTTAATAATCTTCGTTATCCATAGATGCTGCCAGTGGACTATGTGTCTCTTTTTCCATATGAAAGAATATGTAAAATAAGACTGTTTCAGTACCAATCTGTAGAGCACTCTGTTGTTAAAATTTGTCAAGTTGAAAACTGACCATCCTCATGATTTGCTTCTTGCATATTACTTTTAACTCTCATTCCATGCCCAGTCAGATTCTAAAATAGTTTTATGTGAAAGATTTGCTCAGAACCTTCTGAAGAGTCCAGTTAAATGGTATCCTTTTAGTAGATATCCTTTTTACAATATGTGGTTTTGATACTGCATGCTTGTTGACTTCAGATATGTGGTTTTAAAAATGTAATACTGGTTTGTTGTTCTATCAGTCTTTTTTATTTCGTTTTTTAATAATTTCAACCCATTTGTCCACTCCTTGAGGTAAAAATCACTGGCATGTAGTAGATCTGACCACACCTGGTTAACAATATATGACTTTTCCCTGATAGGTACAATATAGTTGTCTTTTATTTCTCCTTTTGAAGGCTTTGAATCTTAACAGATGAATGGATGCCCAGTCTTATAATTGCAAATAAACAGACTTAGAAAATGTTCATTTTGATTAGTTTGCCCAGTGTTGAAAGTGATATGTAACTATGCCAATACCTAGATGTGAATAGATGTCGAAACACCTTACAAATCAGGTCACTCTCTTTTCTCCCATATTACAAACAGAAGAGTGGATAGCTTACTCAGTGGCAAAGCTAGCAGCAGAACTGTTCGTTTCCCATTTAGGTTGACCACTACAGCAGACTTGTTGGTCAGAAATAATGGTTGATTTCTGCAGCTGTGAGAGACATAACTATTTTATATACAAAGCTTTTGAAAAGGAGATGAAGACTGCAAGTAGAGATTTTATTTTGTTGTTTGTTTAAAATGCAGGCGCATTTTTGTATTTGCAAGGTGTAGTGGCAGCTTTCTCTTTAGTGTATGTATAAGCATGCATCCAGCCTAGAAGAAGTATTTGAAGTGGATTTTGAAATGGCACCAAGATTTTGAGTGTGAAATTCTCAGTACTTAGTGTTTTGCTCTATTTTTGGAGCAATTATGGAAAATGGAGATTAGTCTAGGCTTTACTGCCTGTATACTATCTATGTATTCTCACTAAATGTCTTTGAAGTTTGTTGACTTTTTTATTGCATATAAACTGTGCAGAAGTAACCTAAAATGTGAATAAGAGTGCAAATATTGCAAGCAGATGTCTGCCCAATACAATATTCAGCTTACTCTCTACAGCTGCTAGCAGTAGCCAAGGTTTGTAGTACAATTTTTCATCTGGGAGAGAGGAGAAAACACTTTAAACCACTACCAGAATAGATAGCGCAGTAGCTAAATTGCAAAGTGCAGAAATTGACAGAATTGTAAATTATCACAGTAAATACTGTCAAAACAGGAACTTTGCAAGGTGTTGGACCAAAACCATACACTTTGACTTACACAGATGAAAGTAAGGGTAGTGAACATAATTCATATGCTACCACATCCGTGAATAAGTATAAGATTTGGCCAAGAAGATGACAGTTTTAAGAAAAGTGGCAATTCCTCAGCTGTGAAACACTTTTAAAGGAATTACTGGGCATCAACATGTGCTGAAATTTAGTATTTAAGTTAATGCTAACTGAACTTTAACTGCTGGTTAATGAAATGGCACCAAATGAAGTATTTACAAATACCAGCAAATCAATACCAACAAATATGTTGCAATGTTTTGTTTATATATCATTGACTATTTCTGTATTTTTGATTAGGCAAAAGCTGGATAAACATACAGACAGTCCCAGGAGCAGATACCAGAACCTAGGATGGTTCCATTTTTGGAATATAAAAATATTTGAAGGGGGTGAGGTTCTTAGGGTTCTATTTTGCCCAGAGAGGACTTGGGGCAATGGAGCTAGGATGCTAAATACTTTGTAGCATGTTTGTGGGAGCACCCTAAGTTAACACATACTCTCAAAATGAAATCATTAATCCAGCACCTTTGTAGACAATATAACAGATACTGAATGTTCGGTTCAGTGTCACAACACAGAAGATGCCTGCTAGGCAGTGCAGAGGTCCAAGGTTTTCCTTACATAAATAGACAAAGAGTGTGGAGCAGATTTATGCCATGTTCAGGAAAGATGCAAGGAGTTTACCTTCCTCTTGTCTTCCAAAGAGGCAGCAAGGCCACATCTAGAGTGCTCTAATAAACCGTGACCAGTTTTGTTGTCCTGTAGGAAAAAAACTGCTCTGATTATAGTATTTCTTACTGATGGAGAAATTGGAACTTTTGCACAAGTGGTACTTAAATTGAGCACTGTAAATAATAGATTTAGGTGGAGTAGGACAAGGATTCTGGACTTATATGAACCAAGATTTCATCGGTGTGCAAGATGGCTGCACAAGCCAAAAAGACTACAGCTGAAGGATGACTGACAACTGCTGTGGAAAACAGTAAGCTCCAGATGTAGATTTGACGATCTGAAGTTAAGAAAAAAATGTCAAAAAAAGGATGCAATGACACCCAAGGACACTGTGAGTCAACTGAGGTTTACAGGGGATGGATTAGTTTAATTACTTTGTGCTAACAAAGGAAATGGGGAATTATAAAGGAATTTACAAATACATCCATGCAGAAAAAAATATTTGGAGGAGAAAATGAGTAGTTTGCTCGCTCTTCTTATTTAATAGTAATGAAGACTGATACGGTAGAGCATCAGAGCTGTAAAAGAGAAGGTTTTTTGCTGAGTTGGAAGGTTACTCTATTTTTATACATAAGAATAACAAGCTGGCTGATATGTATTGCAGGATATTAATGAAAGTGACAAAACCCAGTTCCAGTTTTTATTTAAGAAAATGTAATGGATAACTGGAATGTAAGAGGTAAATAAATGCAATATAGTGAAATTTTTGTCTTGTTAAATCTAACTTCTGTGTAAATTTTAAGGATTTTTTTCTTACTCACATTGCATAAGGGACGCATTCTGGCATCTGTTACATCACTACACAACAAATAACACTACTAAAATCCGGGAACAGTGTTTGTGTTGATGTGAATGTAGTCAGAAGCAGAATACATGTTTTACAGCACTTCTCACTGCACTAGGTCCAGTAAAGACCATAGGCAGATTTGAGCAAATAAGCAGAGACACGTTTTCTTGCATGCACTTAACTCTGGGAGCATCTCAGCTCATTGTATGCCTTCATGTTCAACTCGTAAGCTACCTAATTGCTTAGAGTTCTGCTTCTGCACGTGTTCCCAGCAGCTGATGATATCTGATAATCACTGCTGAGGTGGTATAAAGTCTGTGATTTTTCTGCCCAAATCCTGTAGGAGGCCTGATGTGCTAGACCCTCTCTGGCCCCTCGTGCTCTCACTTTCCCTTCTCAGCTGACTGCCCCTACTACAAAGCTATAGAGTAATGTTCTGGAATAGAATTGAGAATGAGTGGCTGAAAGGAATGAATTACATACATATCTGTGATAAAATCCTTTCCTAGATCTGTGTGTGCTTTCTCATGAAACCTTGCTTGAAAAATAAATTCAGATTTGCCTAAATAGGAAGAAAGATATGTGATTTTAAAGTTGTCTGAGTAGCAATGGATAGCAATGCAGTTGTTTTTATAGCCATGTAGAGGTTTTAATGGTATTTACAGCCCTGGAGAGGGGGGAAGAGAATCATGAAGACAGCCCATTACTGAAATACATTGTTGTAGTGGGAAGACTTTCAAACAATAAGGGGAAAATACAAAGAAATGTAACAGCAACAATCAAAACTTAGGTGAGCACGAACTGGCCATGAAATAGAGGCAAGGAAGGAGGATTTGGGAAAACACATTTTAAACCTGCATAAAGGAGATAATTGGGATGCAGTGAGAGAAAAAAGCCACTTCAGTTTTGGGGTGCACGACAGATATTGCATAGTAGAGAGTATAAGTGTAAGAGCTCTTGCTCTGAGACCAGTAATTCTGGTACAGTAATTCTCCATTAAATACTGCATTAGTTTTGGGGTGAGCATGTTACTAACACAGTGAAAGAGAAGAATACTGATGTACTACCATATGAATAATCATTAGAATAACTTGTGAAAGCAAAGACGAGGCTCAAATGTAGAAATTCTTGGGTAGATGCAAAGGGGAGGTAATTAGAGTGATTTGGAG